ATAGTGACTTTGTTCAACTGCCGATAATCTATGCACATCCTCATCGATCCATCCTTCTTATTTATAAACAACACTGCGCATCCCAAGGCGAGATACTAGGTCTAATAAATCCCTTATCAAGAAAATTTTGCAACTACTCCTTCAACTCTTTCAACTCTGGCGGAGCCATGCAGTATGGCAGAATAGAAATGGGCTGAGTTCCCGGAACCAAATCAATACAAAAGTCGATATCCTTGTCGGGTGGCATCCCCGGCAGGTCTGCAGGAAATACCTCTGGGAACTCCCGAACAACTGGTACAGAATCCATGGAAGGAACCTCCGCACTAGAATAGCGAACATAAGCCAAATAAGCCAAACACCCCTTCTCGACCATACGCCAAGCCTTCATATAAGAGATAACCCTGCTGGTAGAATGACCAAGAGTCCCCGTTCACTCTAATCGAGGCAACCCCGATAATGCTAAGGTCACTGTCTTGGCATAACAGTCCAATATAGCATGATAAGGTGAAAGCCAATCCATCCCCAAAATAACATTGAAATCAGCCATATCGAGAAGTAGGAGATCTACGCTAGTCTCAAGACCCCCAAAAATGACCACACACGAACGATAGACACGATCTACAACAATAAAATCCCCCATAGGTGTGGACACATAAACGAGAGTACCCAAAGAATCACGAGGCACAACCAAGTATGAAGCAAAATAGGATGATACATATGAATAAGTAGATTCCAGATCAAATAATACTGAGGCATCCCTACTGCAAACTAAAATCGTACTTGTGATAACCGCGTCATATGACTCAGCCTCAGGCCTGGCTGGAAAAGCATAGCATCGGGGTTGGGCCCCACCACTCTGAACTGCATCTCGAGGACGGGCCCTGTCTGGCTGGCCTCCACCTCTAATACCTCGACCTCGACCTCTAGCTGTCTGACCCCTACCTCTAGCTGGCTGAGCGGGCGGTGGAACACCCGGTGCTGGGACCATGGCACGAGAACCCTGATGTTGAGAAATGTCGATGCTCGAGGGCAATACCTAGCAATATGCCTCGGATTGCCACAAGTATAACAAAATCTCGATTGTTGTGGCTGATGAACCTGAAACTGACCCTGGCGACCTGAGTAACCACCCTGAGAACTCTGGAGCGGAGGTGCACAAATAGGAGTTGGTGGTGCACTATAGGCTAGCTGATAGGAATACTGCATATGAGGGCCTTGACCACCTGAAGCACCGTGAGAAGCCTGAAGTGCTGAATGAAATGGCCTGGGAGGATAGCCTCTGCCAAAAGTACCTCGACCTCCAGATGAGGCCCCACTGAATCCACCGGAGTGACGAGGCCTCTTTTCAGACTCCTGACCACTCCCCTAAGCTAATACCATCTCAACTCGTTTGGCCATATTGACTGCATTCTCGAAAGAAATCTCACTCCCTGTCTCTTTTAGCCATTTGCAATCTGATAGGCTGAGCAAGTCCCTCAATAAACCTCCTCACCCTCTCTCTTTCTCTCTCGGTAGGAAGTATAAGAAGAGCATGACGGGCCAAATCAATAAAGCGGGTCTCGTACTGAGTAACGGACATGCTGCCCTGCTGGAGACGCTCGAACTGCCTACGATAGTCCTCTCTCAGTGTAACAGGAAGGAACTTCTCCAGAAATAGCTGAGAGAACTGGTCCCAAGTCAAAGCAGGCGACCCAGCTAGTCTGGCCAAACAAAAATCCCTCCAGTATTTCTTGGCGGAACCTGACAGACAAAAGGCAGCAAAGTCGACCCCATTGGTCTCTACTATCCCCATGTTCCGTAATACCTCGTAGTCCTGGGGATCCTCTGAAGATGTACCGCCATAGTGAGTGGTGAAAAGCTTGGTAAACTTATCCGATCTCCACAAATCCTCAGAAGACATAGATGATCCATCGTCAGTTTGTGTTGCAACACCCGGCGGAAATACCTTAACTAGCTGAGCTGTTGGAGTCTGAAACTGGGGAGCCATCTGCTCCGGAGTGTGAGTAGCGGGAGTCTGGACTCCTCCCTCAGCCTGAGAGACGGTTGGTGCTACAGGAAATGTGTCGGCCTGAGCAACACTCTCCATAAGTCCTACTAGACGGACCAAAGCATCCTGAAGTACCGGGGTAGCGATGAACCCCTCTGGAACCTGAGTTGGCCCTGCTGGAATGGTTTGGGCTGGAGCCTCCTCATCAAACTCTACTTGAGGCTCCGTCGCTGGTGCTGCTTCTCGAGCTCTGGGCTGAGCCCTGCCTCGTCCTCTAGCACGACCTCGGCCTCGTCCTCTGCCCCTCGTAGAAGCTGCCACTAGGGGCTCTAGCTGCTGCTCAGCTGAAGAAGCGGTACGTGTTCTCACCATCTACGAAAGAACAAGAGTAGAGGGTTCAATTAGCATTGGGAGAACAAAACCGCACGACAGAGAAAGATAGAAGTGAAACTGTTCCTAACACCATAGCCTCCGGAAGATAAGTACATACGTCTCTGCACCGATCCTCCAGACTCTACTAAGTTTGCTCGTGAATTGTGAGACCTAGGCAACCTAGTGCTCTGATACCAACTTGTCACGACCCGGATTTTCCACCATCGGGACCATGATGATGCCTGACTTTTCAGATGCTAGGCAAGCCAACAGTTAAAGATTTAATACGCTAATCCTTAACCAATTCAGTAAATAATAACAATTAAACCAAACCAGATTAAAGAAGTGCAGAATTTCATAGTAACCCAAGTACTAATACACAACTACCCAGAATCTGATTTCACAATTCACGAACTTCTAAGAGTCACTACAAATGCTGGCTAAAAGAAAGTACAACTATTTTCGAATTTAAAAGAAACAGTAAACTAGAATAACTGGAAGGGGACTCTAGGGTCTGGGAACACCAACAGATCTACCTTGGGTCTCCTGTAGGATTGAAGGCAGCAACTCAACTCGGGTCAACAAGATCCAGTATCGTAATCTGCACAGAAAGTGCAGAGTGTAGTATCAGTACAACCGACCACATGTACTGGTAAGTGCCGAGCCTAACCTCGGTGAAGTAGTGACTAGGCTAGAACAATACACATACATAAACCTGTGCAGTTAAATAATATGCTAGCAGAATAACAACTAATAGAAGCTAAACAGAAATTAACGAGAGGGGAAGCATGCTAAGGGGGTTACAAAATAAAGAATCACACCAATGCAGGAATTTAAACAGCTAGTACACCTTGAACCGGTAATAACAAGTAAACACAACAGACGAAAAATGCACGGCATCACCCTTCGTGCTTTTACTCTCAACCTTACCAGATAATCAATAATAGAAACATACACGACATCACCCTTTGTGCTTTATCACTCAACCTCACCATATAAATAATAGAGACGTGCACGGCATCACCCTTCATGCTTTATCACTCAACCTCGCCATATAAATAATAGAGACGTGCACGACATCACCCTCCGTGCTTTATCACTCAACCTCACCAAAACAAGAGACAACAATAATAGGGAGATGGAAATGACAACAACAAGTCTTACTTCAACACTTAGTTCCATAATACCAATCTCAACTTGAGTAATTGCTCAACCAATACCAAATTCACTGGAACATGATAAGAAATTGCTCAACACATCGAATAGTCTAAACATGAAAAATATGATCAAAAATACAATATTTACAGGAATTAGACTCACTCACATGTTATGACTCGACAACAACGTATAACAATAACGTATAGCTACTCGTCACCTCACATATGCGTTGTACTCAACATCCAAACACGTAACAAATAAGCAAATAACATCTAATCCCTCAAGCTAAGGTTAACCACGAAACTTACCTCGCTCCCACGGCCAAACTCAAAGCTCAATCACCGCTTTTTCTTTCACACAAGCCTCCGAACCAATAGAATCTAGCAAATTACCAACCAAACAATTCAATTTAAGCCTTAGGAAGTACCCACGATTGCAAGGAATTCAATTTAGGCCATTTTTGAAAAAGCCAACAAAAGTCAACACCAGGCCCGCTTGGTCCAAACCCAAAATTCGGACCAAAACCCGATTACCCATTCACCCCCGAGCCCAGATATACAATTGATTTTGAAATTCGACCTCAATTTTAGGTCTAAATCTCCAAATTTCGAAATCCTTAGCTTTTACCCAAAATCCCCAATTCTATCAAAAATCACTGCCTTCCCAACCTCACTTCGCAAATGCGAAGAATTCCTCGCAATTGCGAGGTCTGCTTGGCCCAGCTACTCTTCGCATTTGTGATGAGAGCCTCGCAAATGCGGAACCTGCAGGGTTCGCAATTGTAATGCCTGATCTCGCAAATGCGAGATCAGAGGCCTGCAATAAGTTCAGTTATATCAGCAAAATTTTCTAAGTTCAAAACACCCCGTAGCCTATCCGAAACTCACCCGAGCCCTGAGGCTCCAAACCAAACATGCACACAAGTCTTAAAACATCATACGAACTTGCTTGTGAGATCAATTCGCCAAAATAACACCTAGAATTACGAATTTAGCACCAAATCACATGAAATTCTAAAGAACACTTGAAATTCCTCTTTTCTCAACTGGATGCCCGAATCACGTCAAATCAACTCTGTTTTCACCAAATTTCACAGACGTGACTTAAATATTACATTAAACCCGTACCGGGCTTCGGAACCAAAATACGGGTCCGATACCAACGAGATCAAACATTAATCAAATTCTTTAAACCATTAGATTTTCAGACTTACAATTTTTAACAAAAATTCATTACTCGGGCAAGGGACCTTCGTCCGATTCCGAGCGTATGCCCAGGCCCCATATTTCAATAAGGACCACCGGGACTGTCAAAAGAGTCCGGGTCCGTTTACTCAAAACGTTGATCGAAGTCAACTAAATCAACTTTTAAAGGCAAAAATTATTATTTTTCTCAACCTTCCACATAAAAGCTTTCCGGAAACACGCCCGGACTGCACACGAAAATCGAAAAGGGATAAAATGAGGTTTTGAAGGCCTCGAAATACGGAATCGAGTTCTAAAAAATAAGATGATCTTTTGGGTTATCACAGTACGATTCAAACCTTCCATAAAATAAGCTATATATATACATAAGCTATAACACTTTCTGTGTCAATATTTATTCTTGTCTTTCTTTAATTATGTTCTCATCAATTCATGGTGTTTTATTTTCAATATTTGAGACCTAGATATCGTCAGTCCAATCACTGAGCTCGCTGTCATAGAACAAGCCATCGACGATTTGATCGATAAGGGAATCGATGAATGTGTTGCAACCAACTGTGAAGATTCGGCCAACTTTGCTGCGAGAACTTGAAAACCAAGCAAAAAAGGCAGCACAAGCTACAGCACCAATAGAAACTCCAGCAGCTTCAGCTATTCCTTGAAAATCCGTCTTTCTGAATACAGAATTTCCTGTCACTACTTCCATTGACACTGTTGCTGCAAACACAATCTGGACAAAAGCTTGAGCTTTATATGGTGGATAACTCATTATAAAAGTATATATATACTTACAAAGTGTAAATAATTTTTTCACTATTAATGCAGCATTTGTTAGAAAGAGCTTTATTCCCATTGTGGGACTTCTTGCGCGAATCCAGATTTAGTCGAATTCCAATGCGAATACCGGATACCGAGTGAAAAATCCAAAAAAAAAAAAAAATCAATTATTACTAGTTATTGCTCTCTTTTTCAAATTCCCATATCAGACTTGGTAGAAATGTAGAAATTATTGTTGATCAACTTAATCTTTAGTATAAAATTTATTTACGTTACCATGTACAGAACGCGAACTCTTAGTTATATTGATGATGTAATAAGCCTGTATTCAATGGTTCTGTTCAGGATGACTTTCATAATTTAGACTTGAATTAGACACCTGTGATCATTTAGAAATGATTGTTAAAAATAAATCAATTTGTTTAGATTTAATAAAAGAAACTTTTGTTCCCATGCGAGTCAAGTTTCCTCAAAATGGTTTTTTTTTTCACCCCTCAAAATAGTTTATTGATCTAACGAAGTGAGCACCCAGCGAAAAAGAAAAAGTGATTTATGTTGACTCGACGAAGTTATTCCTATTGAAAAATGTTACTCCATATGTTATTTGGTCGGCTAGCCAAAAATATTTTACAAATATATATTAGCAAATTAGATTTTCACTCATAATTACTTTTTCTAATTTTGCGTTATTGATACAGATCTTAGATTTTCTAAATGAAGAAAATACACCTAGATTTTAAAGTCCAGTTGAAATTTAAATCATGATCAGTTTGAACCATATGCTTTGAAACTGAATATAAGAACCAATCATAACCAGAAAAAAGTGAGAAGTTAATTACCATGGCAAGTCGACCAGAGATAATCTCAAAATCCTGACTCTTTTTGGAACTCTCAATATACTCCGACAACGTTGCGAAAAAGGGTGAAACCTCGTCATCTTCTCCATGAAACCCGTTCTTGGTCTTGATTACTCCGACAGGATCCGACCCGAATGACCTTAAAGTAGTCAACCTCGGTTGCAACATTATTTTCCCATTCTCCAGCTGCCCTGGTTCTGATACTCTCAGCTTCTGAACCGGCGTGAAAACTGCCGGTTCAGCTTTTTGAGTCTGTGGTTTGAGCTCACACAAAACCGGTCGAGCTGTTAAGGCCATTAGAGAAATTACAAGAAGAATAATTTAAAAGATGATTCCTCAAAAGTGGGAGTTTGACAAAGTGGGGTTATTCTAGTTGGAATCTTAGTGGGAGCTTTAACTCAAATAGTCCCTTAACTTTGAGCGTTGTCTATTTCAGTCTTTATTAAGCTACAGTATATTATCTCGAGCACCTGTTCTTTTAAGTTTGTAAAAATTTGAACACTTTTGGTCCACCTAACTGAATATTAGATCAAGCCTAAAAATTAACAAAATTGTCACATGTTTTCCACAAAAAAGAGCGACCATGAAAGAGATATTCTCCAATTTTAGTTTTTCCTTCAGTTTCAACACTAATCAGAACAAAAATATAACTCTAAATAAAAGAATTATTGCAAAAAATTATAAATTTTGTGTTACAGGAAAATGAACTGTGACTAGAAGATAAAACGAAATTGGCTAAGTAGAATATAATCGATCATAATAGTCATTTAGCTTGGTCACGTAGAAGACACGAGATTTTTGTTAGTTTTAAATGAACCGTTTCATTAGTTGGACTAAAAATACTCATTGTTATAAATATAAAAGATCATATGTGCTCAAGATAAATAATAAGAATAAAGATAGACATGTCCGTAAACTTAAGGGACCATTTTGAGTAAAGACTCATGTTGGAGGTGGGGGTTAGGTTTTGGTGGTGATTGTGAAGAGTCCACGTCTAAGAAAAGGGATGTCTGTATAAGTGGTGTTTGGTTATTGGCTTCTGAGAATTCTAGCAGACGTGGATATTGAATTGGTCTTTAACGTTATTTTCATATAGTAGTAGATATATAGGAGTTGATTAGGCAAGATGAGTAATGAATGACTAGGAATTGGATAAAGAAATGAGAAATTATTTATTGGATGGAAAACTTTCTATGAATGATGGCTGTGCTTTGTTAATGAAAATGATTGGTGGTTTTGGATTTGCATGGGAAATATATACATGGTGGACCTAAATTAAGGTTTAATTGCGAAAGAGACAACCTTCATTTCTTGGTGCAAAAAACATAATAGATAAAATTTAAGAAAAGATTTCACAAACGTAGCAGCAATAGGTATTTTACATACAACGCACCCTTAGCTACAATCACGCATCTAAAGTGTTCATTTCCTGAAATATAAAACCAAAGGGTTTCAGTTTCCCATCTAATAATAGAATCGTCATTAATTATGATTTTATTGATACTTTCTCTCTATTTCAATTATGGTAATGTTTTATTTGGTGGTATAAATGTGAATGCTTGTAAACCCTGAGGGTAACTCAACTGGTAAAGGCCTGAGGACAAAGTCCTTCAGGTCGCCAGTTCGATCCCCCGCAGGGCCACTGGAGGCATGACAAACCGTCCGCGTCTCCAGGGCCCCGTGGAACTAACCGTGGTGCACGCATTGAAACAGCGGGTCCCGGTGGGTACAGCTAGTCGGGTTCGCAAAGCGATGCCCGGGAACCACGGTTAAAAAAAAAATGTGAATGCTTGTATAATAGTGTATACTTTGATGAATAAATGATCTTTATAATATTTACCTATTATACATATTATATGATTTTAATATTTATTTATTTAATAAGTATATTATGAAGTATAAATTAAATATTGTTAGTATAAAATATTATTTATTTGGATATACATAGTATATAATTCTTTTTCTCAATATGATAAATATATACGACGTATATTTGGAATATTAAATTTTATAATATAAATTATACCATATATTTATTATATAAATATTATATATTTAGATCACATTGTAGTTGTTTAAATATTATATAATATTCTATTATATATAAAGTATAAAAATGACTCATGAACGCTTCGCGTTGAAAGCCTTTTATTTTATTTGGTGATTGAATTTTGTGGCAGGGAGAGAAAATAGTGAAAAGGAAGAGCAAATCATGGCATAAAGAATTTTTAAATTTATTATGAAAAATTATGTTAAAAAAATAACATAAATCTTTAAATTTATTCTAGAAAAATACGATGAATCTGTAACTATTATATTCAAACGTAATAAAATATAAAATTATTAATTTAAAATATATGGTTATACAATGTACGTTTTATAAATATTTACTGAATTTAAGTTACATTATTTCATACATGCTTATAGATCTAAATGTCCAAACAATTAGAAAGCTTAAAAAACTTAAAGAAGAAAAAAAACTAGAATTTCCATTGTGCAGCCTCTTTAAAGAGGGGATTATTTTTTAGATATTATTTTTCAGTATCTTTGATATATTTAGGTAAGTGTTATTTATGGAAGAGAAGAAAAAAATTATGGAAGAGAGAGGGAAAAGAAAATGTAATAAAAGTGTATTGATGTAGAGAGACTCCTTAGTTGTGAGTTACCAACGTGAAAGTGCTAAAAATTAAATAAATGTGCCAGTTTCAAAATAAACAAAGATTGCTATCATTTATGAGAATAGTTTTTAAAAAGGGAGCAACCATATAAAAAATTCAAATATTTGTCAAATTTACCTTTATGATCACTTCAATTAGTTTAGTGTTAATTAAATGAAACATATATGATAAACTGAGTGCCAGCCCAAGCAAATAAAGCAATGACCTTAGGGCCCCAAATTTTTAGTGCCCCATTTTAAAATTTTAATATATTAATTATGTGGTAGTGTCCTCTAAAAAATTAAATATTTATGATAAAAATAAAAAAGTATAAGATCTTCAAAGAAAAAATTTGACTATTTTACCAATGTGATCTATGGTGACTAATAGTTAATTCACATTCTAATATTAATATTCTTTTTTTTCTCATAATAATATTTATATTTTATATTCTCTTTTCTTTCTCTAATTGCTAAGTTGTCTATTCTCCAAAACATCCAAGGAAGGAAAAATATAATTTTTTTTTCTTCTTTCTCATTTTCTTAAGCGTTACACCAAACAAAGTGAAACAATAGAATTCTATTCTGATGTCAAGTTATAAACTTCTAGATTCAAGTCCTATTGTTCTAACTTTCTATATTTTTTCTTTAGATTTGTGACGACCCAAAGGGTCATCACCTATTTCCTCATCCACTCCGTGCTTCTGAGGTCTTGAAAACCTCATTGTTACTTGCCTCGATTTGCGTGCGCAATCCGGGCGTGTAGCCGGAAGGCTTAAATATGAATTATGTGTGAAAAATGATGAATTTTGATATTAATATGATTAAAGTTGACTTTGGTCAACATTTTGGGTAAACGGACCCGGACCCGAGATTGGACGGTCCCGGAAGGTCCGTAGAAAAATATGGGACTCGGGCATGTGCCCGGAGTCGAATTCCGATGTCTAGAGCCCGAGGAAAGAATTTTTCTGTGAAATTGTTTCTCTGAAATTATTAAGGAAAAAGGAAATGAAAATTGATTAAAAGACTGTGGTATCGGGCTCGTATTATGGTTCCGACACCCGGTACAAGTCTTAAATATGTGTTAAGCGCTTTCGTAAAATTTGGTCAAAATCGGACGTCATTTGACGTATTTCGGACCCAAATATCTAAAGTTTGAAGTTTATGAAGTTATAATGAAAAATGATGAATTTGGGGCTTGATTCAATGATTTGATGTTATTTTGGCGATTTGATCGCACGGATAAGTCCGTAGGATGTTTTTGAGGTTGTGTACATGTTTGGTTTGGAGCCCCGAGGCCTCGGGTGAGTTTTGGATAGGCCACGGGGTGAAATTTTGGACTTAAGGAATTGCAGGTCTGCAGGTTTCGCATTTCCCAAACATTTTTCGCAATTACCAGGATTGTTCGCATTTCCCAAACTTTCTTCGCAATTCCCAGGTTCGGATTTCCCAAACATTTTTCGCAATTCCCAAGCCTGTTCGCATTTCCCAAACTTTCTTCGCAATTCCCATGTTCGCAATTCCCAAACCATTTTCGCAATTCCCAAGCCTGCTGGGTTCGCAATTGCGAACCCATGTTCGCATTTCCCACATCTGAGACCTGCAATTTTTCATACTTAGACGAATTTTAACCCTCTTTTCTTCATTCTTTCAAAACCTAAACTCCATAGGCGATTTTCCAAGAAACCTATCTTCTCCAAATCATTTGTAATTCAATTTTTACTTAACTTCTTCAATCTTTACCATTATTAGACATGTTTTCATCTTAAAATCAAGGATTTCCATGGGTGAAAATGGGGATTTTGGGTAGAACTTAGGTTTTCTTAAAATTGGGGATTTGGACCTCCATTTGAGGTCCGATTTCAAAACAAAACATAGATATGAACTTGTGGGGGAATGGGTAACCGGCTTTTGGTTCGAACCTCGGGTTTTGACTACGTGGGCCCGGGGGTATTTTTTGAATTTTTGGTAAAAACTTGGGAAAATTATTTTTATGCATTCAAATTGATTCATATAGTGTTTATTAAAGTAATTGAACAATTTGTGATTAGATTCGAGCGAATTGGAGGTGGAACCGCGAGGTAAAACGATAGTTGAGGATTAAGTGGATTTCAAGGCTTTGAGATAAGTGTTTGGTTTAACCCTAGCTTGAGGGAATAGGAGTTGAGTCTTGTTGCTAATTGCTATGTGATCGAGTACGATGTATAGGCATGGTGACGAGTATCTATACATTGGTGTCTAGCATGACCGTGAGTCCTTATAATGTGATTATCACGGCTTGGTTGTGACCTCCGTGTTTATTGGAGGATTTCTATATGTTGTGAATAACATGTGAACGGTGATATGATCATTTGATCCTAGGAGCATTGGCTCGAATTGTGATACGAATATTTAAAGTATATGAAATGACTTGAATCTGTGGAGCGTTGGCTCAAGATGGTAGAGTGGATTATAAGATAAGAAAAGTAAGAAAGAGAAAGCGTTGTTGATTATTCCCTTGCCGGGACGTTTGGTTGAACTTGTTGGTTTCTTTCCCTTGCCGGGATTTTTGTCAAATATTTGCTTTTTTTTATGCCTCTTAATCGTGACTGTTGTTTGGGGAGTCAGACTATTAAATGATGTGGATCGGGTTGCGCGCCGCAACAAAGATATTGAGGATCGGGTTGCACGCCGCAACAATAATATGTGAGGATCGGGTTGCGTGC